ACATTTACTTTTGTCATATGATCATGTTATAATTGATAAAACAAGTGCTTTCTTGTTATTCAGCATTATATGATGTAATCAAATATATGAACAGTTAAAATGAATATAAAATCAGTGATACAAATATATTTTTAAAAGAAAAATAAGCTACATATTTAAAAAACTACAGAGTATATTATTATCTTGTTAAACATGATTATAAGTTAAGTGAATAATTTAGTTATTTTCTTTAGATATTGCTTTATAAATTAGATAATTATTGAAAAATAAACACTAATTTCATGTAGATAACTCAAGGCAGCATATAGCCTGAAGAAAATTGCTAGAACAGAAATAAAATTTAGCATTAACTGCATTATATAATTCACATCCTCTTTCTAAAGTAATATCTTTTGAATATAGATAACCCATAAAATTACAATCTATATTTGCTAAAAAATTTCATTAAATTCTAATATCTTCAGAGCAGAAATAGGCTGAATATATTTTTGATAAAAATATAAAACAGATAACTAAGTGTAATTGTTATAAATGGATCTACATACATTATGAGATTATCAGTTATAGATAATCAAGTTTTATTATTCATAATTACTGTTAATATGTTTATAACAATTACAGACAATATTAATTATAAACTAAGTAATAATTCAGTATATTAATGTTATAATTATAAACAACTATAATAAGTTAAGAAAAAGTACAACTAGTCATCAAAAAATATGAATTTCAAGTTTCTATAATATTTTATTTATTTATATATTACTGATATATACTGTATATACAGGGGAGTGCAAAAGTAGGTATACAGTTGTTATTATGGAAAAAAAACATACAGGGAGAAAATAGGAAGAAAAAACATTTATTTTTATGTACAAATTAAATCATAAATAAGGAATACAAACTAATAAAAGATAAAAATAACAATAATAAACACCAAACATTTGTATTTCTCAGATTCTCAACTGTATATCTACTTTTGCACCCCCTTGTATATATGTATATATTTATTTATGTATATATATATATATATATATATATACACACACACATAAATAAATATATACATATAATATAATTTACATTTCATACACACAGAGATGTGTATCCGCATATTTGTGATAGCTTTTATAATTGACATATATATGTGTATGCTTTGACTACTGTAAAAAAAAAGTGAACAGTTATGATCAATTAATTAAATGCATTCTATGATTGATTACAATCTTCATTTGGCATAAATATGAAACAAAAATGAATATCATAAACAATATAAAATAGCTTAATTTTCTTGTATACTGTACAGGTGGTATCATAACAATAGACTAGTACTAATCAATATGGACAGACAAGGCACATTTCAGATTTTTTTTTTAATATTGTAGTCTATTAATTTCAAAATAACTCTTTTGTATTCATAATTAAAAAAACTTTTTAAAATTTTACAATTATAATTAATAACAACTGATTTGTTTCATTTGTAGCCATACTTTACAAGTGAACCAAATAATAGCTACAAAGAACATTTCATCCAGAACTATCCATAGAAGCAAGGCATCATTATCAATTTATTTATCAACAATATTAAACTTTTAAACAGTTTCATTCAGAGAACAATGTATTATTTCATAATAATTTACAGTGTTTTTGCAATATTAAAGAAAGTTTTTTTTAATTAAAGAATTTAGTTATAAGATATCAAACCACTGATTGTAACGTAAGCTTTACAGATGTGGATTTCTTTTCAACAGACTTCTTAAAATAGAAATTCTTAGATCAAATTGTGTATTTTGTTATTTCTTTTATTATATTTATAATATAAT